GAGTTTGTAAAGAAGGGATATTTTTTATTAAAAACACAGAATCCGTTATCAACTGTTTATTTGGTTTTTAAATTTCGCGCAAGCCGTCCCTAATTTAGCAGTGTAAGACTAGAGGGATGGCAGCTACTCATCACCATCCACCGCCAACTCTTGGACTACTCTTTTACCAACGAATAGTGGGATTGACCGTCACATAATAACGCCCCAATGGCTGAAAGGGCGAGCATATTTGGTGGGACGGGGATTCGATCCCGCGACCCTCAGATTGCAAGTGGAGCACCCTAACCACCTGGCCATGCCGGGCCGTCATCAACTGAAGATAAAGAATTCCTGTAATGTTTCAATACGTATTATATTATCACATTAATTAAAACTCAATTCTTCGTGTTTTCCTTTCGTTTGAAAACAAATTGTTAAACAACTTGTCAATGTTGCTTTTCCCTATGCTGGCTCCAGTCGCGTGTTATATTTTTAGGCCAATAAGATTTACTGATTTTAAAACCTCATTATTTTGTAATTTTTTCCCAACGAAATCTATGTCAAAATTGGTATTAATTTGCATTCACTTTGTACTAAAATATCACAGTGGTAAAAAATATGTTTCTGTTTATGAAGTTCAACTCTTATAAGCATTGATCTTATCCCCTACATTTACTGAGATAATATAATTCCGGCCTGCGCGATTTTCGTGAATAATTGAGGACCAACTTCGATAATTGGGTCCCACATAATTGAAGCTTTTCTTCACGTGTTGCGAATTTCGTACACTCAATGTTCTTTGATAGTTGAAATCGCATATATATATTTAATCATGTATTTTTCAACATAGGAGTTAGTTATTCCATCTGTATAACTGGCCACCTACGGTGGATCTTGAAATAACTTTTTCTGGTGAAAATATAAATAAAAGACTCGCACTTTAATCGAAAGATTATCTTAGCTTATAAAACATTAACAAACGATAATAAAATTCTTTGGATATTGTGTGAATGGAAGCAGAAATTGCTATTCTAACGTTTTTCTTTACATTTTGTTTTCTCAACGATACTGTTTATAGAAACACACAGTTCTCATGTTCGTGGTCATAGTTTTCTTTCGTCAGCCCGAATACGCTATGAAAATACCTATTCGCATCATCTGTAACTGCACTGGTTTGATTTCTTGATCACAGGACAGAGCAAAATTCAAACCAACCATTAACGTTTAACCCTTCATCCAATACGTATCTATCATCTTGTATGAAACTTGAGGGGCAGTTATTTACCCTATTGATCACAATAGGTTCTCATTATCTCTTTGTTTACTCAAACAAGATGTCATTCTAGTGTTACCAGATTGCACAAATGTATGTTAGATTAGATAAATTTATCTGTTAGCTACTTCTCTTATAAACAGAATAACTACTTTAAATTAATTTATTTGTTCACATTCTCACTTTCTGTCTACCTAAAAAACTGTCCTAAACAAACCACTGCATTTTTATAATAATAAAAGCGGTTTAATCGCTCTTCCAATAGCATTTATCTTAGGCTTCAACTTGTAAATATGCAAGCTCTCTTTTATTTGGAAGCTCTACTCATCGTGCTTATCATTGGTTTTTGCTAGGATCTTAAACCAGTTAGAATGGACAACAACGTCACATCCTCCAAGGGCATGTTCAAGCACACTTGTGTTAATAGGGGATCTTATCTTAGCATGTTCTTTCACTATCAAGTCAAGTGTATTTGAACATGCCTAGGAAGGAGTGACGTTTTTTGTTCATTTTGAATGGTTTAAGATCATAGCAAGGGCCAACGATGAGCAGATCCTCCAGATAAAAGAGAGCTTGTATATTTACAAGTTGAAGCCTGAGATAAATGTTATTGGAAGAGCGATTAAACGGCTTTTACTTCTATCTGCTCTTGGAAGTAAACTGGTTTGCAAAACGCAAAACAGTGAAGGATTTCTTTAGAGTGATTATATGACTCTTTGCGTCAGAAACACATGATGAAATGTTGTACTTAATGCTTACGTAAGCAAAGACTACCATGTTTTCCCAATAATAATCAGTAGTAACTGTGACTTGCGATAATCCTGGTACTTCTGTTCACTGTCCATTCCCAGATAACAAAATAGTATCTGTTCGCGCTTAAGAGAACGGTTGGCAGAGAGCACTACAATGGATTTAGATTTTTTGATTTGCTTGTTTTAGAGCAAAGTCACACAATGGGCTATTTACACTCCGCCCATCACAAGAATCGAACGCCGGTTTTAAGCGTTGTAAGTTCGTAAGCCTAACCACAGGGGTACACACTGCGATGAATTAAAAACTTTCATGTGAATTAAAAACTAAACTACTTGTTGAGGACGGTGTTTGAAACTACTAGTTCAAATCTTCATCAGGAAAATGGGATGAATTGTAGGGTATATTTAAAAAAAAAAAAGTACATATTTGTTGACGGAGAAAAACGTTAGGAAAATGTTTTATGCCCCTCATTGAAAGAACTTACCGTCTCTTTTACTCACTACACGTTCAATGAAAGATGTATGCAGTTTCAGTTTGCAGAATGTGTATAGTTTTTGTTTTGAGTCCGATAAAATAAACCAAGAAGCCAACATTACGGAGCTCCACTAAGCCTTACAAAGTTTAAGTAAATATTTTTATAGCCTCTTGTTTGTTTGTTTGTAATTAAACGCAAAGCTACATAATGGGCTATCTGTGCTCTGCCCACCACGGGTACCGAAACGCGAATTTTAGCGTTGTAAATCCGCAGACATACCGAGGTGCCACTGGGGGGCATGGCCTCTTGATTTTTGAATTAACAAGTAATTTTCTGAACGTATGTAAACCTTGAAAAAAAAAAACAAGCAAATTTTATATGTCCTTTTTCAAAATCGTTCAAAGGACTGGAAATCATTAGAGAATCGTGCAAAGTATGAGGTTCAGAGTTACAGGCGCCAAAATCTCACTGTCTTAACAGCTGCCGGGAGTATGCGACTAAATATCCCACTGTATGTCAGAAAAGGCAGTGAAATAAGTGATATATGATCTTAAATAAATATATAAGCCATTGATTGGGGAGAGTCAGAAGAATGGAATAAAAGTTAACTTAGATGTTTTGTACAGGAAATCGGACAGTGTTTTGCTTACTAGGAAAGTGCGCAAAAGAATGAGAAATATATATATATATATATATATGGATTCGCACTATATGCTTCTTTCTAGGGGGGGGAATACTTTATCGATCAAAGTGATAAAGACATGTACATTCTGATCCATCTCTGTGTGACTTGTCATCACTAATATTAGACAAACGTTATTTCACGATTTAAGCCGAGTTGTCATCGTCACTAAGTCACGATGTAGCTGTTGCTATGACAACCGCCTGTTGTGGCGCCCCCAACGTAGGTCTTCCTTGCTACATATAACATGTACAGTTGCCTCTCACCACGCGCCCTGTACGGGTGTGGCATTAGACGGTGCACGACACACGAACTGCGTAAGCACAGTCAATCGAGCAGCTTTTCTTTCCATGTGCTGTCGTTACTGTATGAATCATTGAAACAGTTTCTCCTTTTCCATGATTACAAGGTAAGTAACTTCTGTTTATTGTAGTTCTACACACAGCTGTCGTGTACATGTACAGTGAAAGTTTACAACTTTACATGACTTAATCCAACTGCCGGGGCAAAAATAAATAAATAAACATTGTGAATTTAAATAGTAGTTAAGACGCTCTTCCAGTTAGGTTGATAGTGGCTCAATATTCATAAAATAGCGTACAATTTTAACACATTAAGACGTGCTTGTAATAATTCAACTCACAGAGTGTTTCTTATTTTTAAGTACAAGTGGAAGAGACTTATAAAAATACGTCTTCGCCGAGGAATATTTGTGTAAGTTAATATATTCGTATTAACATCAGATCTAATTTTTCCGTTTCTTCTTATGAATTATATATTAAAAAATACTGATCTGAATAATTGGTCATGGTTTCCAGAATAAAACATGACTTACCATTTGTTCAACAAAGTAACGTCTGTATGTGAAAACAATTACTGTAAACTACCTATCATTAGGAGTCATGCAAGGAAAACATTTTTACAGGCAATGGCAAACCAAACTTTAAAAAAAAAATCTTACAGCATTTATTCCTTCAATCAAAGAGTTGTGTATATTTTGTTAAAGAGGGGGAACTTTGAAATATCTTTGTGTAACCAATGAAAGAAATTCACGTGTTTTTTTGTTTTTTTTCAGCTTAAAGTTTTAATTTTTCTATAATATATCTTACGTTAAATCATATCAACCTCGTGTTAAAGAGTTAAAAGTATTACATTTACACGTATAATGTTGGTTGGCTGTAGGCATTTCTGAACAAGAGAAAATGAGATTATTTGAGCTATTTTGGTCCATTCCAGTATTTTTCTGCTTAATTCCAAACTTAGAAATGTTTCATGATTTTTCTTTCTCTTTCGAATAATGCTAATATTGGTTAACAAGATTAGAAGTTTCGTGTATTCATGAAAGTGGTGATTAAAACAATTATTTTTTAAATTTTAAATCGACACGCAACTCAATAAGACATTGTATTTTGTTCTTTCGGTTGAAGTACCAAAAACAACCATATTTTCAAATGCCGGGCCCCTTTCAATATGAAACGGTGTAAAATACATTTCATATAAAAATCAACAGACAGCAGCCGTTTTCATTTCAAACAAATGTATAAGCTACTAAAAGCATGTGTATAACTTAATATAAATATAAATTAAGAACTGGAAAATTAAATAGTCGTGAGATTTTTTAATAGTTAAATTTAAAATAGTGTACAAAATCCGATGAAATAACATACACTTCTAGTATATGGAAAATATAACACGTAAAACTGATAGCCACTAAAAATTTCAAACCATTTTTAAAAAAGTAGCATAAAAATTAAAAAGAACACAAACCATTACAACGTTTTGAAGAGTTACAGATATTACCTACAGATTCTTCTTCTTTCACAATTATTCAATAAATGACTTGGAATTAGTGTTTTTTTATATCTTACAGTTAGGCTTTAGATTACACTTTTACCTTGCAAAATAGAATATCGGTCAAAAGTCTGAGTCGAAGATATAATATCTCAAGTTTTCAGGAAAAGTTGCATAGCAAAGTGTAGTTATGAATTTTGTACATTATGTTAAACAATGTGACACACGATGTTTGCAAAACATGCCATTTTTAGGGTTGTGTGAGGGGGCCTATTCCCCAGAAAATGTTTAAAAATTTAATGCTATGAACCATTTTAACTATAAATACTGCATACACGCAACATAATGTAATGAATTAAAATAATCAAGTTTTAATACATAAGTTGTAGCTATATATACCATGAAAAAATGGTCAGGCCAAGGTCTTACCGCTTCCTATGGCTCTGTAAGTTGTTGGTTTGAGCGTAAAGCTATACATTGGCCTATCGGTATACGCTCTGCCCACCTTGGGAAATCGAACCCCCGGATTGTAGCGTTGTATGTTCATAAACTTACCGCTAATCCACCGGGAGACAATATAAGTGATTGTAGTTGCTTATGTATTACACTATTTACAATATTTTAACTTATCAGCTTGATAATATTCATAATTTTTTTTCCAACAATCGGTTTGTTTGGTTTGCTTGTAATTATGCACAAAGCTACACAAGGGCTATCTGTGCTCTGCCCACCATGGGTATCGAAATCTGGTTTCTAGCGTTGTAAGTCCGCAGACATACCGCTGTGCCACTGGGGGCTTTTCCAACAAATATTACACAAGTCTAGAATAATGTTATATTTTTCTTTTTAAAACCCTGATATTTCGAAAGTTTTAAAAACATTTCTGACAAGAGAACTTTTTAAGTTTCATTGAAATGTAATTTTATAGCAGATTTATGGAAAAAGGAATATATATATGTAAAGTCGCAAGTTAAAGATTCACAAAAACGACATGCCAATTAACACTTCAATGGGCAACATTATCGGTATATTTCGAAGACCAAGTATCAAAGAAAAAAAATTATATAGAAGATTAATCGCACTGAACCTTCTGTTTTGAACGAATTGTTTATGTTAATACAATGACGTGACACCATATAAGCGAGTCACGGGCGACTATACCTTTGACAGTGAAACACCGCCAAAGGGTTATTTCTTATTAGAGAACTATAAAAAGTCCTTTTGTGTAGAAGTATTATTCTACCGATATTATTAAAAGACGTGTAGCCAAAGGCCACGGCATTTAGAATAAGGGAACCTTAAGTGTCCCCCACCCCACCCCCTCCCACGGAAGCGAAAAATACAAGCACAGAGGAACGTTTAAGAACAGCAACGGTTTCCAAAATCAACACCCCACCCAATCCGGAGCAACGCTCCCATCCGCAAGTGAAGCCTATGATTAAGAAAGCTTCGGCTCGAAAGCTATTTGCAATGAAGTTAGGCCTATCTTCTCGTATCATTAATAAGATAATAAACGAGGATATGAAGCTCCCAGCCACGAATGAACACCTCCAAATCTATTCTCCTTTTTGATAACTCGAATCACAAGAATTTCATTGAACAACATATATATATCAAGTCCTTCGATGCAGCTCTACTGGGCTTTGGGGCTTTTGATCTGCTTAAACGTGGCTTTGAAAGTTGACGTCCACGTAAAGTGGAGGGTCTGTGGATATTTTTTTCAAGATGTATGCTCTAACACAGTCCTCGCCATCATTCGAAGAAACTTGTTATAATGCAAATAGCAGTGTCTGACAATAGTGCATCAGACTAAGGACGAACAACGATAGAGGAAATAACTTCAAGGGCAACATGAGACCTGGAACATCATTTATTAACCACAGAAGTCTGTTTAAGATCTATATTCTAATTGATTTAACATTTCCTTTCCACACTTCTTATACTAGGAGAATATATCAAGAAACTAATGAAAAATGATTAAACTAATTTCGAATTAAAAATATGACTGTTTAAATTTGCATATTTGATTTTGGTTTAATTTACATTAACACAATACATATTCGTTTTTTTAAGAAACGAATTTCTTAATAATTTCACATCTCTCTGATCTAATAAAAAAGATTGGTTGCTTATATTTTATACTAGTTAGAGTATTCGTCCGTTGGACGGGTGAAATAAAAACAAAGGATAGGAAATTGTGCTTCCATTTTTCTTCTTAAAGTAATATACATTAAAAGTGCAATACAAATACATAAAGGTGTCAATACTGAAAAGAAAGGTATAATGCTTTCAAGAATTATATCAACCACCCCTCATGTCATCCTCTATCATCGTGTCAAGTTTGATGCTGATTGATCAAGAAATGTGGAAACGTATAAGGAACAGGTACACACACATATTTGCGTTTATATACATATATAGATAATAAACACTTAACAAATTAACTGTCGTCTTAAAACAACTCAACACTAACGTTAATAGTATAATATTCTTAGTGGTTTTAAGATAAATTATTTCATTGAATGGCCCTAAAAGTCCCGGAATGTGTATTGTAGGAATAAAACAGGAACAGAAAGTAATAGAGTAATATGAAATATGGTATTATCCATAATAATCAGGTTAGATTCAACTGCTCTCAGAATTCTCGAAAGTAATACATTCTCATAATACGTGTGAGAATAAAGCATTTTTCTTAAATAGACAAAATTGTGCAAGGTAGGGTGTGGTAGCAGATTTTCAACAATATGAATACAGTTATATTGTTTCCCCTACAATAATACTTACTGGCTTTAATAAAGGACATAGTATCATTTAAAGAGAGCCTCTAAAACAGCATGACGCAAACCTTGCCTAACGCTATAAGACTTTAATTACTTAAGTACTTTTAGTTACTTTTCATATTAATCACAAGTTTTTTGTTTTGCTTTAATCGAGCTTATTCGACAAATAAAAGGTGTTTTTTTATTGCATATACTCTCGTGCCTTAATTCAATTAATGAGTTTTAAGGTATGTGTTTTTTCTAGATCGAAAACAAATACTTAGCTTCTTACAAGATAATGTTCATATTTTCTGCAAATTGTTTTCGACACATCAATGTTTATGGTTAGTTGTTCTTACGTCACTAGTGAGGGAGGGACTTAATGGCTTGTAGATAGATAAGGTTGGCAATTTAACGGTTGCATTGCAACAGCTGCTGTGATTAGTTTCTACATAAAATGGTACAGTCGCTTTACTGTCAGCTGGACTTAAATTTTTATTCTAAAATACATACGTCTGCCAATATCATTCCCTTGCTTTTTTTACATATACTGATCAAAACTCAATGTGTTTTTTACATACACGACGTATAAGGTGTTAAGAGGACTACAAACATACTTTAAAAATTTTAGTCTGTCAGATTTTGTTTGAAACACTCGTTTCTGTTTTTTTTTTCTTGATCCTCCCATGACAGGTTTTGGCTCAGTGTTTTTTTTTAATTTTTTGAGTTCAACTTTGTATCTCAACACTCATTTTTTACTATGAGAGCATAATCTAAGCCAAAATTTTATAATAAATTTATTTTCTTGATCCTCTCATGACAAGTTTTGGGTCAGTTTTTTTTTTAATCGTTGAGTTCAATTTTTTATCTCAACACTCATTTTTACCATGAGAGCATAATCTAAGCCAAACTTTCATAATAAACAATGATAACAAGAAAAACGGAAGAGTAACCATAAATACATAGTTTTATGTATTTGAAACCCTAGCAGAATGATTGTTTTGAGACAATTCAAACTCAAAAAACACCACTGGACTAGATCTCTACTATATGTTGCGTATTACAATTTTGAATGGTTTGAAACCGAGCTAAATGATAATTTAGTAGTTAAATATTTGCCAATGTATTTCCAATTTATGATATTTGCCAACAAGATTCATACACACAGTTTTCTAAATATTTTTAATACAGATATATTTTAATACACAAACAATAATACAATTTATAATAACAGTTATTACAAATAGTTATTGCAAACAATGATTTATATGTACAAAAGTTTTACAAACTTACAATCAATATCAAGTCTTCTTTCTATTCTGGAACATCCTTGATGTCTTATCCAGGGTTCACGATGAGCGAGTTAATTTCGAGTTAATGTAGGTACAATTCACTTAACAGCGAGCTAGTAGCCCTGTAGTTCTCGCTGATCACACGCCGATATTTTTCCTGTCAGTGCCGTTAGGTAATCTTTTCGTAAAAGTACTTAATGTCCAATGTGAATATATTGAAGTTAATGGTTTGTAATGTTCGAAATGTATAAATGTTCCTGGTCAAATATCTTAAGTTTTCCGATTGATAAGCGTTATAACAATCACAGTTATAGCTTCCGAAGCTTATAGCAACCAACTATAGCAAACCAATAATAGATACTCTTTTCTGGCGCGTTGCGTTTGTTATATTTATAGGCGTATGGAGAGTTTCTCGAAAGTTCAAATTACGTAATAATACAAATCTATGTACACATGTATATTATTGATTTTTACACTCGAGAATCTTCTACAACTTTAGAGAATAGGCGGGAGTCTCGCAATACATATTTAACTGTATAATTTATGTACATTTCTACATATAAATTAAATTTAAACAAACATCGACATTAACATAAATATAGAATAATAAATCCGACGGATCAACGGTAAGTTTATGAACTTACAATGCTAAAATCAAAGGTTTAATTCGCAATGGTGAACAAAGTGCCCGTAGCCCTATATGTAACTTTGCACTAATAAAACAACAACAATTTCTCTTTAGTCAATAATTTCAAAATTAGGGACGACTAGCTTACACAGACGATGTGTAGCCTTACGTGAAAAAAACAACGATAAATATATCGCGTCTTTTAATGGTATACATTAACCAATAATTAACTAATAATCTAAATAGACAACTCTGGGTTGAATAACAGTGACACTTTTCCTTTTTCATTGGTTATCTTCTAAATCAACTTTAGTATTTAAACAAAAAACAGTGTCGCGTGTATTTTTAGCCTATTCGGATCATTTTTTCATTGTTTTTACCGAGAGTAACTAAACTGACTGACAACTTATTTAAATTCAAGGTTATAAGAAGGTTGCATACGTTATATGAAGACGGTTTTGAAGCCTTACTAGCATGTCGCCGTGTCTGTTCATACTCTATCTGACGACCGTGCATCTTGACAGTAGTGCTTCGGCGTAATTTTCTTTGCAAATTACTCCGTGATAAGTCTGTCATGTCTGAAGCACACATCCTAGTCTATTTAGTGTACGAGTACGACGGTTGCCTAATATACCATTTCAACAGACTGGTTGCACTGAAATATATAGGCCGTGCGACTTGACTTGTCTTCGTATGGAATAGCATGAATACCAATTTCATTCTCCAGCTGTTTGAGAAATATGGAATAGTTTAACGAGTATTTGTACACATGACTTGTGTCACTTTTTCAGACGGCGATCATTCTTGATTATATTGTGTACTGTTGCCTGGGTCAAGGGGACAGCTTTGGCCAATTACCTCTGAGTTTGTGGATTCTCACCTGTTTTAAGATTCAGCACTTTGCTTACAACAGCTGGGGTACGACTTGTTGTAGTTTGTGTGTGGTCCTGGTGCCTCAAGTTGATCCATATTCCTTTGTTTTTTAAACCATTAATTGCGAGGAATATCCCCGTTTTGTAAATTCTAAATCCTCGAGTTTAACAGCGTCTGATTGTGTGAAAATTTTGCGTCGGGAATGGCTGTTACATACTCTTCCCAAAAGTAAGCAGTTTTTTCTATCATCGGTACAATACCCCAACCAATGTCAAAATTTAGTTTTGATACATGACGTTCCATCGCGACTTCTAGTTGTCACGTGACTTGGTGGTTTAAATATTGGAAATTGTTTTATATAATATACTCAACCTTCTATGTCCTAAGAAACTTATAGTGATAAAAAATAAAGGTTTCAAATGCTGCTTATAAGCGTGTGTTATCATACTCAAAAACCTACGCATGTAACACATATATACTTATAAAAGTAAAAATAAAATTTTGTATTTGTCAGCGAATTATTCCGTCTTCTTTGTACCAATCTCAACCAAACTAAGTATTATGACACATTGAACTACGGGGCATGTTATAGAGTGGTTATTATCCGGCTTTATCCACCCTGGGCAACGTCTACAGCAAAATATATTAGTTTAGCTAATGACTCTACAGGATTGGGGCAATTTTTATTTTGAAATTTTTCTTGAGATTGTTAAACTTAAATTGATTTCTCTCATTAAAAATGTCAAATATTCATTTTTTTTGCCAGATAAAATGGCAACCAAAGCACAAGAGTAGACCCTTAAAGAGGCAAGGCTACATCTGAAAACACCTGGATTTTCACATAGTCAATTCTGTATTGGATGTTCAAGAGTAGGATCACCATGAAATCTCCTTATTTTGTCCCAGGAAGGAGGAAGAACTTCTAATGTGGTCTACCAAGAAGCACTCCGAGTATCAATAAACATTGAGGCAGTACAGAGAGATTAGTAAAAGTAGTTAACTAAAGTAATTATACCACCGTTTCTGTACTGTGATGTGGAAGAAAGTAGGTGTGAAATAAAGTGGTTGTAAAGTAAGTTATGTGTGAAATAAGTTATACATATAAATACCAATTCTTGATTTAATTTATTAGTTCAAGTCCTACATTTAGTCCTTATGCGTAGGACGGGTGCCTCAGCTTATAATTACACAAGCAAAAGTACCCGCCTCCAGTGACGGGAAAAGTTTAAGTTAATCTATCAGTTTAAATTATTTCACGGACTATAAAAAGGTTTATTGTGTTGAATTCTTGGTTTCACTCAGAGCAAAAGCTCTAAGCTACTTATACCGCTCACCGCGAAAAGTAATTGCTGAGTATTTCAGTTATGCTAAGAGCCGTTCAACAATAACATACGGTAAATCTACATTTTTATTGTTTAAGTTGCGTCATATTTTGAAATGTGAATGATAGTGTGATTAATTCCTAACAGTATAGTGTACAATATCCTGTTTGCAAAATAAAACTTGGCATCAACATTATTCATACCTGTTCTCCCGTCATTTCAAAAGTGAATGTTGAGCTTTGCCAGCGTGCGCAGCTTTTCAAACGGGAGACAGGCACCACAGTGCGCAAAGTATATAAGATAATTAACAATAACGTATTTTTGTTAGCGTATAGCAGAGGAAGAATTGGTAGCCTATTTTGGTAGAAACCGTATATATATATATGAGGCTATGAGGTGTTCGTTCGATATCAAAAAAGTATTTTTTTCCCCTTTCCTGTAAACCGAAACATCAGGATATTTTCTCTCCTAGGTAGACTGGATGTCTAACAGCCATAACATGGTCACGTAAGTTTCAAGTTAGAAACTGAATTATCGCTGTGGAGGAATATGGCACGTCTAGAACAGCCATGAAAGAGCACGCACCGTGCGCGCTGTATATATACATATACTCGTCAAGCAAAATCATTTGCTCAACTTAACACTGATTCAGAAAATCTGTGAAATTTGTGAAAAATGAACTACTTTATTTAAAATAATCTCTCGAGCTTTTTTTTTTCGTGTTTTTCTGCAACGTCATGCGTTGCTTACTAACTAGTTTCAGCGCAGATATCCCACTGTGTAGCTTTGCGCTAAAACACAAACTAACTAACTACTTTTTCACACCTTATTTAGATTTCCTTGCTTATGTTTCCTTTGGATGATTCTTACTCGTTTTTTATTTTAATTATTTCTTTTATTGTTGTTGTTATTGCTGGAAAAGCTACACAAAGCTATCTGCGCTCTCTCCACTGCGGAGAATCGAGCCTCGGATTCCAGGGTTGTAAATCCATAAACCTATCGCTGATCCATTGGAAGACATTTCTCTTATTAATTACTCTTTTATTATTCTCCATTCATTATTTCTTGAATTTAAGTTTTTAGTTTACACTCTATACTTTCAAAATCTCTATCTTCACATCCTCAGTGTTACATAACTCATCTTTCTATTATATAATTTTAGCTTTCTACATTGACTCTCCCAGCGTACTCAGTTTCTTTTGGAGATACATTTTGGTTCATTGAAATAAAGAAATATATTTTTTTAATATATTCAGAAAACTTTGTTTCTTCTTTCCTGATTTAAAAGTCTAAAATACATAAAGAATGGCGTAATAAGTACGTTGTTCGTTTGTGAAATAATTTTGTTTTGTTTTTTTCAAAAACAGGCAGTTATTACGACATCTACCCAGGATTAAAACGGTGGAAACTACATGAAGCGTGCCTATTAAGAGTTGAAATCCCTACATTAAAATTATATGTGGATGAGAGGAGACTATATTATGATTATCAATTGAAAAAGAACCCATAGACATTGGTCTGCGGTGACTGTTTTCGGGAACAGTCACTAAATTTTATGTCATTCAATGAAGATACCATTTATCGAAGTTAAAAAGGAAAAACAAAAGATAATTATTGCCATCATTAAATAATAGTATTTCAAGTGTTTACAGCTTGATACATGGGTCATCGAATGTTAATTTTACTTACTAAAAACAACTGGTATAGATACAACTGTTCCAGTTCTCTGTAATATTTTAAGTATAACTTTACAACAGACCTTTATATCACACTAGTGCTCAAGTTGTTATAAGAGAATTATGAAAAACAATCTCAATTGTTTCTTGAAATGGTTTCAGATACTTGACTTTTCGTTTCATGAAACAATCGTATATTTTGTGCAATTTATTGGTTTGCAAACGCATTGTAAACACAGACAAATTTGATGTATTTTTAAGCCAATTACGGCGTTCTATCAAAACAACCAGATGCAACAATTTTAATAAAACCATTGTTTTGGTTCTGTGAAGAACTGGCAAGTATACAAATCCTAATAAATAATATTACTTCAGAAATATTAACTTCCAGATATCGAGATATACAGCAATGTCTACGTCATCAGGAAGGCACAAGTTTTATGAACAAGCTCGCTTTCTCAGCGCACGTTCAAAATCCACAACGGACCAACTGAGTATTGAAGTGCGGTTTGACGGGCCAAAATCCCACGTTTCGGCTCGAGTGAAGCCAAAAAGAGCTGAAATTCACGCGGCTGTTGATGATAACCATAATGGAATTCGACAAGACCAGGTCGTATCTGAGAAACAGTTGATAAAAAATATCGTTATCTTAGGAATATCATCAGTATTTGTCTTCAGCTCTTTCTTTGCACTGCAGAATATCCAGAGCTCCATATTTCAACAAACTGGCCTTGGACTAAAAGCTTTTTGTTGTGTTTATGGTCTAATGATCCTGTCTAGTGTGTACGGCCCTATGTTTGTTCAGAAACTGACCCCTAATTGGACAATTGCCCTCTCATTCGTCATGATCTCTCTCTTAATCTCCACATTTTTCTATCCTCGATTGTATACTCTGATTCCCAGCGCAGTTCCCTTAGGTCTTTCCTTAGGCCCCATGTTCAGTGCATATACGTCTATTTTGATGCAGCTGGTGTCAAAAATGACCTGTCTCACAGATGTACCTCAAGAAAGAGTGCAACAGCGATTCCTGCGAATGTTCTATCTCTTCCTTAACATCAGTCGAATTAGTGGGAATCTATTGACGGCTCTGTTGTTACGCTATGGAGGCGATGTCTATGTTTATCCAACTCAGCAACAACTGGACTCTCAACCAGAAGTCAGATATGATCCAGATTCAGAAAAACACGATCCTTCGTTGACGGTTACTCTGTCTAGAGAGGTGGCTAGTCGTTCCTTATGTGCCACCAACGAATGTCAGGATTTTGGCATCTTGCGAGATGTACCAAAATTCATCTTTCTTCTCCCATCAAATGTTAGTCTCATGCTCGTCAGCGTATATCTTGGCTTAGCTCTCACTGGTGTTGCCATAGTAACGACCTTGCTAGATAAATTTGACCTGTACGTTTACCAGGATCCTCTAGAAAGATCATTATGTTTTCGTACACTGAAAAACCTAGGACTCACATTTGTGGATCCTCAGCAACGGCTTCTTCTGCCTTTCGTCTTGTTCATAGGAATGGAGCAGGGATTCATGTCTACCACATTTACACAGGTATGTCAAGTTAATTTGTATACACGTCATTCACATTTTTATCAGTTATAAAGAGTTAAGGAACTTTAGTACTGTAGGATATTTATATGTGTGCTTAGTTAGGTTTGAGCCCATGATATTTATATGTAACTCAACTAATTACTAGAAAACCACATTTCAAGCATTGACAGGATACTGACGCCTTTCCATTTGGAATATATTAACGTCAGTATGACTGAATGATAACACAGGTCTGCTATGGTTTTATTGTTTTCACACGTTCTACAGTAATTCCTGTACGTTGAATCCGAAAATAATTTCTTTTTTTCTCCATCACGTACAGATTTTTCACAAAATGTCATATGTACTTTTACGCAAGTGAATCATTTTCAATGAAATCGGGTCACATTTTGTTTTGCTTAAAATGTTGACAACTACAAGCTATAAATTTCTCTAGACCAATCGCAACTTGAGAATCTTATCGATCGTTCTAGAACCCCCAAACATAACAAACATAATAATAAAAAATGTTCATCGTGGTAAACGAAATAATAATTTGATCTAAGTAAGAGTTTTTTTCTTCTTCCCGATTTGTAAAAAATCCTTACGTGATAGAAAAAAATGAATATTATTTTTTCGAAATTTGCCTAGCTAAATTATAGAAAATTCGTTATTAAAACCAAAACAACTTTGATGAAGTTTAAATTCACAGGCCTGTGTAACCGAAAATTCTATAAAGATCAAAAACCGACATTTATTTTCCTAGGTAATTTAAATATTCTGATTTAACTCTTCAAGATTTTCTCCAGCGTTATCTTAATCTTTTGTCAATCACTCCTCTTCCAATTAATCTGAACTTTTTTTTCAAAAGAACTGAACTAACTGCAAAGGCACCAAAAGAATCCAATCCCCTGCCGCAACGTTTTTAGTTTTGCAATAAAAACTGAAACATACACCAAAAAATTTTTCATCCTCAAAAGTATAGGTTTAGGTGTCAAGATACTTTTTTCTATCGCAGTTTGTTCTCGAGTTTTGATCTTCTTCCAAAATCTCCATTGGCACCTATGTATGGCCTTGACGTTTGTCGAACTTTAGTCAATTGGCCCTTGAAAGAAACTCAGCCATTGTACCAAATTTAATCAAACTTAGATGAAAACATTTGGAGTTCTTATGTACACAAACACACAAACGCGGGGGGTAGTACTTTCGTATGGTGTTTCTCACACCTCCAAATTCCTTTGGAGGTGAGTATCCGGGAGTAGGACTAGCGTCCTAGTTCGGATATCGGGTGGGTATGTTTCGGTGTAACGGGGATTCGAACCCGCGACCCGCAGATTGCGAGTTGAGTGCCTTAACCATGCCGAGGTTACGCGGGAGATAATTAGCTATCTAAAGTTGATACAAGATAATATGTTTAAATCATTAGTATAAAATGTGCCCATTTCAAAACTAATCTTTTTACAATAAAACTGTAAAATGATCTCATTAATGGAGAACTAAAGTCAATAATTGAATACTTATTTTTAAAGAAAAGTGTACCAGTTGTAGAAATTGTCAACATCGAAAAAAGACAGCACAATAAAACAACATCTTTCTACCTTAAATTATCTTCATTTTTTTAATCTTCAAGTATAAGTATTGGATTAACTAGTTTCGAAATTGTACTTGAAGTCACTGTTATATCCTCCATGTACGGTATAAATCAAACAATGAACAATCGCTTTCATGTGCGTCGAAAGCGAACTGACGAGTTTGTCGTAAAAAAAATCCACTTTTCTACATCCATTAAAAAACAAAAACAATTACTAATAAAATACATTAAAGCAACACTTTCAATTTGACTAACAAGTGAAAAATAGAATCGAAAGTCATTTTACTTACGAACGTGGTTCGGTACGGCCAGTACGTTAGGGCGCTTGACTCGCAATTTGAGGGTCGTGGGTTTGAATCTCCCGTCCCACCAAACATGCTCGCCCCTTTAGCAAAGTCTATCTCAACAAATAGTTAACATTATTTTTGAACTAAAGCTCATTAATATGGGTTACGCGTAAATTTAACATTATAATCAAGATAGAATTCTTCAAAGGTTATTCAATTTCCATTTTTTTATTGAAAGTCTTAACAAAGTTCAGAAACCTGTTATTACAAATGTACAGCCTAGTTTCTAATGGTTTCTAACATTTCTCGGCGCAAACCTTGCCATAGATTTAATTAAAACCAAATTAATTTCTATCTTTCGTTATATAATAAGCTCAGAATTATTCAAAATAGTACATGTAGCCAATGTTTATAAAGCTGGTCCTTTAATGGTTTTGAACATTACCCGAGGACGTAACGACAACAAATTTCGTGATGAATTTTAATAAAACCTTCTTAAACTTCACTTTTCATCAGACTTCACTTAACAAGTTCCGAAGGATATAAATATTCTAGTATCCGTCTCGTCTTTCTTATATTACTGACAGGACATAATTTGCTTGTTTGTTTCGAATATCGCGCAAAGCTACACGAGAGCTATCTGCGCTAGCTGTTCCTAATTTAGCAGTGAAAGACTAGAAGGAAGGCAGCTAGTCTTCACCACCCACCGCCAACTTTTGGGCTACTCTTTTACCAACGAATAGTAGGATTGACCGTCACATTTGTAACGCCCCCACGGCTGAAAGAGCGAGCATGTTTGATGGGATGGGGATTCGAACCCGCAGGTCCAGGACGAAGTTTTGAATAAAAACCAAATAACATGTGACACACAAAATCCTTTTTTTTTCTCTTTAGATATGGGCCTGGCGTCATCGAGTGGTTGACTTCATGGGCTCGGATCGAATGGCCCGAGGTTCGAGACGTAAAGTTACTGGACACACTCCGCAGTTTTAAACGTTTAAAAAAGTTATAATTAATTCCGTTATTTGCTTAAAAGTGGCCGTGTAGGCAACCCGTTCTATTGACTGGCTAGCTTCCTTCTGGTCAGTAATTCTAAATGTCTGAACCTCAGGTGTTCTGACCTGGCCCCTCAAATCACGTATCGGTAAAAAGGCTCAGGCTGAAAATATAAAATATGCATTTGAACACGAAACGTGCCAAAGATTTAGTAGCAGCCAGCACTGAATCTTATAACAACATTCCCTTGCAATTATTTTATATCTCAACAACATTCCTTTAGAATTCCTTTATAATCCAAGAACATGCCTTTATACTCTCAGAATAAGTAGCCTTCGGAACTGTAAGATAAATATATATATAGATCTTTTCTTGACGTTACTATAAAGGAAAGGTATTAATTTAATAATGAACCTGTTGTTTTAAGTTCAGTTTTAGTGTTTGTTCTTAATCTTAAAAAAGTACAGTAAATATATCTTGTGAAGAATTCTCTAGGACACCATATATTCAAAAGCAGCTTTACGTTTTCATCATGACCTGTAGTTTTAACAATAATGTTCCAATCCAAAGACATCAATATATATATTGTGCTCTGAGTACAAAAGCAGCTTTACGTTTTCATCATGATCTGTAGTTTTAACAATAATGTTCCAATCCAAAGACATCAATATATATATTGTGCTCCGAGTACAAATAAATAGAAATAACAAATTAAAATAATAACTGTATTTTCATTGTGATGAGTCACGTTCGTTATATGTAATTACTGTATTTTCATTGTGATGAGTCACGTTCGTTATATGTAATTACTGTATTTTCATTGTGATGAGTCACGTTCGTTATATGTAATTACTGTATTTTCATTGTGATGAGTCACGTTCGTTATATGTAATTACTGTATTTTCATTGTGATGAGTCACATTCGTTATATGTAACTACTGTATTTTCATTGTGATGAGTCACGTTCGTTATATGTAACTAATACGTACAATTGTTTTATTTATATTTTACTAATACATTTTAACTTACAGCCCACCATTGTTTAGTTAACTAGACGGGGATTCATTATATCTTATCCTTTTATCTCTTCACGTGCGTTGAATCCGATAAGAAAGATCACGTGGCCATGTTAACGCAAGGATGGTAGTAAAATGTGACATCGGCATAGTTCTCATTATCACGAGTCTAACTCTGGTAATTCTCAAAGGAATCTCATTCCTGTATACATGCCACTCTTTCCTTAAACTTCCCGAGCATGACTTCGCCAAATACTTTCCTGATTCAGTTAGCTTCTTTTTTATTTTATTTTTTGTTCACTTTAACACACCATTCTAGACTTATTCTTAGCATGCTCCATCCCATTACCCTTTCTCCCAGTCGATGAGACAGGCTGAAATCGCTTTCACACTTTTCGGGTTCCACCATATTGAGAACATGATATAATTAGTCCTTTGTTCACTTTATCGAATGGTGCCGGTGGATTTGATCCAGTTACTAACGTAAGTAGTTGCGCCCATGAAAGAACATAAGTTTCAAAATGTAAAACATTGAGCTGGAGAAACATAATTATACAGAAAGAGCTAGAATGGAATACGACTTCAAGGAATAGTTAAAATCTGTTGTTGTTTATTAGTTTTTTGTTAAACACAAAGCTAAACAATGGGCTATGTGAACTGTGTTCATCACGGGTATAGAAACCCGGCTTATAGCATTATAAGCGTTCAAACTTACCGCTGAGTCCGTGAATAAGTGTGAATCTATTGAATCGACTTAGAACGTGAAAGAACAATAAAGATCAAATTGTCATTTAGCTTGCTATGTAATATAACAAACTTTTGTTCATAAAAAAACAACTAATCCATAACGTTTGCTGGAAAAGTGGAACAAGTGAACCAAGACTGTTAATTATAGTCGTTTACTTCAAAAAGTAAAACGTCAGTGTGTTGTTTCAAACAAGATAATTAATGTTTTTCTAGTTTCTTGTAGGCGTTAGGACTAAACCTGAAGGAGAATAATATATACCCCTTAATTATTTACGACAGAAAAGTTAGTAACAAATAGTTTACGCATTGGAATCGAAAAATCGATATTATAAATACACTAGAAAGAATAAGGAAAAAAAGACATCATTTTTCTTTCACATACCA